CAAAATTGTTGATAAAATAGTTTTGCTTTTTCAATGGAGTCAAGTCTATGTCTTTGTTCTTGCCAGGTCACCAAAATTCCTTCCAGTATTAAGTATCTAAAATTCACTCCTTTTAGTATTAGGAACTTCGTTAGAAACTGATATTCTCTCTTCAATTCTCTAACTCTTCTAGGTATTTGTCTTAATACCACAATTTCTTTATCTTTGTGTTTCAGTGCTGTATTTCTTGCTGCTTGTAATATCTCTGTTTTCACTGCCTTTTTGGTAAATCTTACATGTACTTCTCTTGGTAGTTTGTTCCTCATTGCATATCTTGTGTATACTCTGAAGGCCTCATCAATCTCATTTTAGATATTTTCCTTGGATTGTTCCAAAACTTCTGATAATATCTCAGCAATCATCTCAGGTAAATTTTTTCTTTTTTCTTCCTCTATATTTTGAAATCTAAAGTAAAACTCAGAACGCTCCATCTCCAACAGAATAATTGACTTTTCATTTGGTGCCAATTTTTCTTCTAATTTCTCAACCTTCTTTTCTGTCATTTCCGCTTTTTCTTCAACTTTCTGGATTCTCTCTTCATTTTTCCTAATCATGGCTTTCATTTCTTTTATTTCCTATTTTCAGTCATCATGAAGCGATTGTATAAAATTTCTTAATTCCATCATCTCTGAAGTTTTCTGTGTTTCTGTTGATGAGGGACTTGCTGTTGGTGTAGATGTGATGTAAATTTCTTCATATTTATAATCCAAGTGCTTAATCCTCCCCAATGATTGGATTAGCAAAAAGAAAAATAAAAAATAAAAAAATAAAAATAAAAACAAAAATGAAAAATTAAATGCAAAAATTAAAAAACAAAAATTCCAATCAACCACCTCCCTCAAAAATCAAATTTCCAAATACCCCAGCAGACAGGGAAAAAAAGAGAGAAAAAAATTCAACTGCCAAAAGTAAAAGATAAAAATACAAATCCAAACAACCATAAAGGAAAAAATGTCTTCTGAATCTTCCAGTCTTAATCTGATTTCTTGTCAATCTAGTTCTTTAAAAAAAAAAAAAGGCACAGAAAAAAATCCCTTAAAAAAATAAATAAAAGACACAAAACACAAAATAGAGTGCCTTTCATCCACCAGCAAAGATCAAAATAATAATGAAAGATTAAAAGCCAAAAATCCAATCTTCTCTCTTGCACATCTCTTTTCTTTATCAATCTACTGAAATGTCAAGGTCAATTATAGTTAAAGTTTCTTCCAAGTCAAAATCTTTTTCTTTTCTGCCACTAGATGGCACTGCAGACTAGCTTTCAATAGAACACAGTTCCTTTCAATCTTTTAAATTTTTTAAGAACGATCTTCAAAGTTTCGTTTTGTCAATTACCACCATTTCAACATTTCAATAGAATGGGATTCAATCATTCATTCATTAAGTCCCAATTTCTTATTTTTAAGGGATTACTTTTCTTTTCTCAATCACAAAGAAAAAATATAAGAAAAAAGAAAAAGGCTTTTACTTCTCTTTTCCGTCGCCCGATTGCCAGATGTGAGAGTGAATACACACCCGCTCTCACTCCTCACTCTCAGCCAGTCTATTCTTATTTAATTTCCAGTTGGATTCAAAAGGAAAAGTCTTTTGTAAAATCAGTCTCTCTCTCCTTGATGTCTCACAAGATGTCTTCCTGTCTTCCTCTTTCATTGCACCCACCCCAGTTTCCTAGCGACTTCGAAGGTTGCTTTCAAAGTAGTCCGGTTTGAGGAGCTTCTTCTGGTTCAGCCAAGGAATTTACAATCCCCCTATGCTGACCGGTCTGTGCTCCTCTTGTTTGTCGTCCCTTCAGGATGACTTAGGTCACTTAGGACCCCCGGACTGCAGAGATATGGATGGGTCTTCAAGAGATCTTAAAGAACCCAATTTGCCACTGTGACATTAGTCACGCCCCTCCCAGAAAGTTCAGACTGTTTAAGGAGCTGCTGATACAACTCTACAGAGGAATTATTGAATCTGTCATTTGTATTTCTATAACTGGTTTGGTACAGCAACTAAACAGGACAGGACAGATTCCAATGGATAGTTAGAAAAAACAGTTGCAACCAGTCTGCCTTCATTGAGGATCTGCATGATGCATGAGCCAGAATGAGGACTGAGAAAGTATCTACAGACCCCTCAAATCCTGGACATAACCTGTTTCAACTCCTCCCCTCAGGACGCTACTATAGGGCATTGAATGCCAAAAGAACAAGACACAAGGACAGTTTTTTTCCCCTCATGCCATCACTCTGCTTGAATACCTAATTAACACAGCACTGTTTTATGTCTAAGAATATTTACTCATGTAGTACGGTTGCATCATCATCATCATCATCATCATCATCATCATCATCATCATCATTATCATCATCTTTCCTACTACCTTTTTCTTCGGGTATCTTATGATTATATTACATTGTTGTTTGTAGGTACAATTGTTGTCTGTATGTACATGTTGTTTGTATGTACACTGATTATGTTATCTTTTTTGTATATACACTGAGAGCTTATGCACCAGAGACAAATTCCTTGTATGTCCACTCACACTTGGCCAATAAATTGTTCTATTCTATTCTATTCTATTCTATTCTATTCTATTCTATTCTATTCTATTCTATTCTATTCTATTCTATTCAACTCTACTCTACTCTACTCTACTCTATTCTACTCTACTCTACTCTACTCTACTCTACTCTACTCTACTCAAGTCTAACTGCTATTAGTATTGCTAATCGATTCATGATCAACTTCATAATAAAAGACTTGAAGAGCAATAAGATTTTTTTTTTTTTACTGGCTGAACTATTCAAGAAATATCCCAATCTGCAATAGTAGTTTATATACATATAAATTAATGTGAAGGATGTTACAATTACAGCCTGATTAGTTTAATGGATATTATGGCTAAAACAATATCTTGTTCCTTTTGAGTAGAATTCAAAGTGAGAAGATAAAGAGTCTTTGGAAGAAGTACAAAGGATAAGAAGGCTTTAGACACAGATAATCCTTTATTGACAATTGCTTTGTCAGGAACCATCTAATGAGACAATATATCAGTCAGGGGAAAACAAAGGTTTGCTCCCCTTATAAACCTTATTAATACTTATTAATAAATCAAACTCAAAAGTTATGGTCTTTGGAAAATGACATGAAAGCCAGGCTATTTGATGGTATAAGACAATAGTGCAAGTAACCCCAATCCTTACCTAGAGGTAGTTTTTCCTGAGACTGAAACTTGGCCCAGTCCTCATCAAAGGAGCTCACTTAAGGCCAGGGCATAAGGCAATTTACCGAATAGATTTAAAAAGAAATTGTAGCTATCTTATTTATTAATCCCATTTACTATATTATATAAAGCCAAGATTTGCCAGTGCTCTAATATTGAGCTGAAATTTGGGTTAAAAAGCATCACTACTAGAACAAAGCCAATTGCAACATCTGTGAAACTTCTTGGGGGTGAATAAAAGGATCTCAGCTGGTGCCCCAAGAGTCCATTTAGGATTTCAAAACTTCTTTCTCTAAAATCTGGGCAAATATTTATTTTAAAAGGGAAAAAAAACGAATCCATCTTCTTTAGTCCGATTTATTAAAGTGTATGATGTCAAGGTTACCCCCATCTTATACAGAGCTGAAGTTTTGGGTCAAAAATATATCGCTACTAGAAAAAAACTCAATCACATTATCTGACAAAGTAGCTTGAGGTGGATAAAAGGTCTTAAGCTTCTGCCTCAGAGCTGAATTGGGAGTGTTTTTTTTTCCCTTTGTCTCCAATCAGGGCACATAATTATTGATATAAAATTAAAGCTATGAAAACTGACAGACTCCCAAAATTCTGTAAGAACAAACAACATTACAATTAAAAGATCTCTTGGATGTTGTGATTTACAGATTATATTAAGAGATGCGATCTTTCTCTTACTCTTGTATAACTGGAATACAAGTTAAAATATTTTTGCAGAAAGAATCTGGGACATCAAAGCAGAGAAAGATTAAGCCATTCTCAATAAGTCTGACACATCGAAGCAGATAAGCGTCTAGTCACACCCCTTTGAAATTTTATTTTTTATTTATTTATTTTGTCAAGCATGTATTTTATGACAGATACAAGTGTAAACATAATTATAAATACATGAGATGGATATGAATAAAAGGAAACATTAGGACAGGGATGGTAGGCACGCTGGTGCACTTATGGACGCCCCTTACAGACCTTTTAGGAATGGGGTGAGATCTACAGTAGACAGTCTAATGTTAAAGTTTTGGGGGTTTGGGGAAGAAACCACAGAGTCAGGTAGTGCATTCCAGGCCTTTTCAACTCTGCTACTGAAGTCATATTTTCTGCAGTCTACAGTAGTTTGGATCGGTTTACCATGAGTTTGTATCTATTTTGTGCTCTTGTATTGTTTTGGTTGAAGCTGGAGTATTCATTGGCTGGTAGGACATTGTAGCAGATGATTTTATGTACTATGCTTAGGTCAGACTGAAGACAGCGAAGTTCTAAGTTGTCTAAGCCCAAAGTTTCAAGTCTGGTGGCATAAGGTATTTTGTTGCGAGCAGAGAAGGGATGATACAGAAATATGATTTGCATTCTTTACTCTGGTTCTTATTTAATTTGTTTCTTTTATTGTATTTATTCTGGTCTTGCTAATGTTCTGTGTTTAATATTCTGTATCTTGATATGGTCTACCAGGTAATCAACAATGCAATATTTTAATATGTTCATGACAAAACAAGTTGGATGTATTGAAATCTAATAACTGATCCTAAATACAGCATTCTTCACTGCTTTTTCAGATCCGTTTGACTGCTTCAGAAGTTCTGAGTGATAAAAGTCAATTCCCTTTTTTCTACCACATGCTCCCCAAATTAGGGATTCTCTACCCAGGAATTGTTCAACTGCTCCTCCATTTCAGATGGACCTTGATTGGTCTCTTTGCTTCAAACACAGAGCATGGAGAGAATTTCATGAGGACCTTGACTCCTACACTTGTCAGGAATGGAATTTGTATTCTTATATCACAACAATTGTCTACCATTACACCTACAGCAATGCTTAGGGATGTTATCTCAAAGTGGAGGCAAGTCAATGTCTTTGTTCACTTCATAGAATATTATTTCCTTTGGGACAGAATTGTTTTTTTCCATTCAACACTTAACAGTTTGCCAGAACCCATTGAAGGGAAAGTCTGGATAAATGCAGGCTTTGGGGTATTGCAAATAAGAAGACACCCATTTCTCAAATATGTCCATAGTGTTTGGACCTATGATTTTCAATGGAGAAAAAGGCCAAATGATAGTTCCTTTGATCAAGATCTCCTTGTGCAACCACAGTTTGGAGATCAATCACTTCACTGTTCTTTTTCAAAAGACATCATTTCGGTCAAAGGCCGGAGAAGATGCATTCAGAAATCACCACTGAAGACCAATGTGGAAAGAAACAAGATGTGGAACCGATATAACCGCCTTGTTTACACTTTGATTAATATTCTGGCCCATGCCTTGAATGCTGCATATTCCTCCATATCCAGGAGGAGAAGGAAAGAGGGAGAAGAGAGGCTGGGGACTCAAAGGCTGCAGGCATGGCAGGTATGGGGTCCTGACAATGATCCATCAAAGTTACTTTCTCTGGAGAAGGAATACAAGGGAGAAAGGAAACTATCTCAACTTTTTGTGCTTCAAAAGGCCAACAAGTTTGGCCCATATAATCACTTGTGGATAATTATCCAAAGAACGGGTACCATGACGTATGAGAATAGAATAGAATAGAATAGAATAGAATAGAATAGAATAGAATAGAATAGAATAGAATAGAATAGAATAGAATAGAATAGAATAGAATAGAATAGAAAATAACAGAGTTGGAAGGGACCTTGGAGGTCTTCTACTCCAACCCCCTGCTTAGGCAGGAAACCCTATACCATTTCAGACAAATGGTTGTCCAATCTCTTCGTCAAAATTTTAAGTGATGGAGCATTCGCAAGTTCTTGAGGCAAGTTGTTCCATTGATTAATTGATCTCACTGTCAGGAAATTTCTCCTTAGTTCTAGATTGCTTCTCTCCTTGGTTAGTTTCAATCCATTGCTTCTTGTCCTGCCCTCAGGTGCTTTTGAGAAAATCTTAACTCCCTCCTCTTTGTGGCAGCCCCTGAAATATCAGAACACTTTGTACTTTCAGAATTGCAAAATTCTGTTATGGTAGCATTACAATAAAGTAGAATTAACCATATTTCGTTTCTAAATTACCTGGGACAACATTAGCCTCACAACTTTCTTCCTGACAAATTCATGCTTTCCAGTAATTACCCTATTGTTTTCAAGGGCTTTATGTTTTCAAGGGCATTTGTTTGTTTGTTCAATTTATTTGTGACCCTTCTGATATTTTATCAATTTTATCAATTATTTATTTTATCAATATATTGTTTTTCAATATATCATTGACAAAATTTGCTAAGCCTTTCTTTTTCTCTTTTGAGGACAGTGATAGCACTTGTTCTATGAATTCAGGATATTTGCAAGTGACACAACTTCAGTAGAAAAATTCAGTTGTGAAAAGAACATGTGGAATAAGAAACCAAAATTTCTCCTTTTAAGATTCTTGGATGTTTCATTCCAGCTTCATCCCTTTCTGAAGAATGAATTTTGCAATCTTTCCCTGCTTAAACTGTACTTGGACCAAAATGGTGATATAGCAGCAGATCTGAACATCATGAGCATGTTAGTTTTTTCCGGGGAAGATCCCATCAGTAAACAACTAGGCAGTTTTGAAAGAAAAAGAACTATTATCAATCCAGATGCTCTTTTACAGCTAAAGTTGCTCAACAAGGTGGGTGAAATATTGATGTCATTTCTCTCTTTTCCAAAGCCTTGAGACACATTTCAAGTGGCTAAGCCTATTCACCAAATACAATGACCTTCAGTGAGAATTGAATGTGGGGAGTAGAACCCTTATAGTTTTCTTAAATGGCTTGTGAGGCTTCAGTGCAGTTGGTAAGGTGTCCTTCAGATTAGTGGTGGAATTAAATTTTTTTTACTACCGATGGGTGTGGCAGGGGAAGGACTGCAAAATCTCCATTCCAACCCCACTCCAGGGGAAGGATATTGCAAAATCTCCATTCCCACCCCTCTCTGTGGCCAGCCAGAGGTGATATTTGCAGGTTCTCTGAACTACTCAAAATATCTGCTACTGCTTCAGATGCTGTAATATGGAACATATTAAATTGACTCAGTTGTGTCCAACATGAGTGATGATTTTCTAGGACACAAATCATGGCTACTTTGTGTCCCCTGTGCAATCTGGTATCAAAAGTGGTGAAAGGGGACATCAGGTGTTGTGGGTTTTGGTGCTGATAGCATCAACTTGTCTTTTTTCCTTGCCTAAGATAAGCAAAATACAGTGAAAGTCTTTTGTCCAATGCCCAAATTCCCAATGCGGGGAAAGAGGCAAGAATAAGTCTAATCAAGACAGGACATATTTCTTGTTGATGCCATTGGGAAAATTTGCTCTGAATTCAGGTTTATCTTGCCATGGTTGGGCAGGTTTATAGTCTGTGATGTTCCTAAATAGAACATACATAGTCAGAGTTGTCCATAGTTGTCTGTCATGCCAAGGGGATAGAAGAATAGGTCTTCTGCACCTGGGGAGAAAGTCCAAGGCTTTCCATTCATCTAAAATGATAATGACTGTTCTGATGTGCCCTGAGTGAGAAAACTAAAGCACTGAAACAAGGTTTGATGCAAAGAAAAGAAAAACCCTTCTTCATATTGGAAGAAATGAGGGACAATTTGGGGGGAAAATGGTTTTTAGCTTATCACTTCATATGAAACAACATCCTTGAATGCAATTGTTTATTTTCATTGTTAGTTACCTTAAATCTCTCTGGAAAAAAGAAGGGTCCAAATTTAACCAATAATAATTGTAGCTCTGTCTTTTCATGCCAATTAGTGTCACCTAATTGTAGTTTTTCAACAGAAAAGTTCTTTTTTTTTTTTTGGATTGACTTTAGAAACATATCTTTCTGTCACATATTCATATCACGTTCCATGTGATCATATTCATGTCCCATGTGATACAGCAAAAAATGCCTGACTTACCATTTTAGAGGAACACATTCTGACGACTCACCTCCATCTCATCTCATTCCAGTTCTGAAAACTAGGCAGTCAGTTTTAGTCTTAGTTCACCAGCATGGTGACCATATAAAATTATCAAGTAAGCATATCAATAAACAAAGAACAGATGCATTAAGTCCTAACCTGTAATGAAGTCTTCCTTTATATCTTAACTGGGAAGTTTTGCTTTATACCTTAACTTTCAAATAGGGCTGGCTTTGCAATGATACATGTAGTCCAGAAGAAACCTTTCCAGATCCATCTGGTCAGAAGTTTCTTTCTTCATCACAGTTTTATTCTATTTTGATAAATTTAATAAAATAAAAGTTTCAGAAACTTTTCAAAATAAATTTCATTCTAAACCTTCATATGACTAAAGCATCTTAATTTAAATTCATGGGTAAATGAAGAGAGGAGGAATGTATGCTAATATAACCATGTGGAGGGACCACTAGTTATTAATGCTTAAATCTTTTCTCCATTGCTTCTCTCCAGAATTTGTTAAGTAGAAATGTCCTTTCTTGCAATGTGATAGAACAAAAGCAAAAGGGAGGAACTAAATGAAGAATCTGCTGATAGTTGTATCTCTTGCAACATTGGGAGATTTCTAAAGATTTCTTATTTACCTAAGTGAAGTCCAGCAACTACTTGACTAAGGATCATGTTTACCTCCATTTTTTTTTATAGAAACTTTATTGAGGTTTTTTACAAAACAAAAAAAAGAAATAAAAAAAGAGAAAAAGGAAAAACAAACATTCAAACAGAAACATAAAACACATAAGTATAATAACATTTTCAGTTAATATCGGATGTGCAGTGTTTTAACTATTTACATAAATAGTACTTCGTGACATTTCAGCTCACTTTTAACCAATATTTAACACACCTTTAGATCCTTCTTTCATTTTGTCATGCAACCACTTGTACCACCTTTCCCACACCATATAGTAAACTGACTTCTCATCATTTAATTCATAAGTTAATTTAGTCATCTCTGCGCACTCGAGTATTTTCTTAATTGTAAGCTCTTCTGGTGGTTGAGTTTTCTCTTTCCAGTACTGTGCGTATGCCAATCTAGCGGCTGTAATTATGTGGATCATTAAATGTGTCATTTCCTTTCTATATGGCTTCTTTATTATTCCCAGGAGGAAAATCTCTGGTGTTAGTTCAATATCATCGTCAATTATTTCTTGTAACCACCTCCTAATTTTATTCCAGTATCCTTTCGCTTCCGGGCATGTCCACCACATGTGAAAGAAGGTGCCTTGACCATAGCCATATTTCCAACAATTGGGGTGTATATTGGGATATATCTTTGTTAGTCTGGCCGGGGCTAGGTACCATCTATGCAACATTTTGTAATGGTTTTCCTTATATGCCACCGCTCTAGTGAGTTTAAGATTTCTGTTCCATGCCTCCTCCCATTCCCCAAAATTTATATCGCGCCCTATATTTTTCTCCCATGCAATTATTTGGTTCTTTGTGACATCTTCGAACTTATCGTCGCCTAATAAATAATTGTATAGTTTTGCCAGAATCTTTTTATTTGTTCCCATCAGGACTTTATCCAATCCATTTGGTCCAAGTTCTAAACCGTATTGTTCTTTGTCTCTCTGATATCTGGATTTTACTTGTGAGTAGGTCCACCAATCTAGAATTATTCCTTGCTCTCGTAAGGTGTCATTTGGTTTAAGCCTCCCTCCTTCGTCTAAAATATCTTTGTATCTGCCCATTTTCTCCCTCTCTCACCTATTTGGGTGGGTCAGGGCCTCCATCGTTGGGAGCCAATTTGGGATTTTTTTGTAATATTTTTGCCTAATCTGAGTCCATGTTTGTATTAAGGAATCTCTAATTTTATGTCTATGGAAATGTGTCTTCCTTTTCTTCTCCGTGTCCCAAATGTGGGCGTGCCAGCCTTTTTGCAAGTCATGTCCTTCTAAAGTGAGAATCCTCTCATTTTCCAGGGTGATCCAGTCTCTTAACCAAACTAGCTTAGCTGCCCTGTAGTATGTTTCCCAATCCGGGAGTCCAAATCCGCCTATATCTCTTTTGCCCCTTAAAATTTTAATGGAAAATCTCGGTTTTTTCCCCTCCCATATAAATTCTCTGATGATTTTGTCTAATTCTAAGAAAAAAAAATTATCTAAATTTATCGGTATATTTTGGAATAAGAATAATATTCTGGGGAGGATGTTCATCTTAATTGTGGCTATCTTGCACAAAAGTGATAGTCTTATTTTTTTCCAGCTATCTAGGTCTTGTTTCATTTTTCTAATTAGGGGAGTATAATTATCGTCTTTCAGGGTCCAGCATCTTGATGTAATCCAAATTCCTAGGTATTTAATTTTTTTGGCAACCTGTAATCCTAATACTTCTTCTATCTCATTCTTCTGGCTCTCAGTTGTGTTCTTAATCAATACTTTGGTTTTAGTTTTGTTCAGTATAAAGCCTGCCACCTCTCCATATTTACTTAATTCCTCTAATACTTTAGGTCCCGATTCTATAGGGTCTTCAAGGATTAGAGCTACGTCGTCCGCAAATGCTTGCGTCTTGTAGGTCGCCTTCCTGATCTTCAATCCTTTTATTTCCTCGTTAGTTCTAATTTTCCGGAGAAGAACTTCTAGGGCCAAAATAAACAATAGGGGGGATAGGGGACAACCTTGCCTTACTCCCTTACTAATTTGGAATGTTTTGGTCCTATCCCCATTCACCAGGATGCTCGCCTTTTGGTTATTATAAATAGATTTAATCATCATTTCAAAATTTGTTCCGAATTTCATAATCTCAATTTGTTTAAACATAAATTTCCAATTTAGATTGTCAAATGCCTTTTGAGCATCGATAAAAATCAAAGCCATCTGTTTTCCGGGGTGTTCTTCATAATACTCTAGTGTGTCTAGCACGATTCTCAAATTATCCCTAATTTGTCTCCCCGGTAAAAATCCGTTCTGGTCTTTGTATATCCAATTATTTAAAATCTTTTTTCATTCTTTCTGCCATTATACCCATGAATAATTTGTAGTCAGTATTTAGGAGCGAAATTGGTCTGTAATTTTGGATTTGTTTTAGGTCGGCACCTTCTTTCGGCACAAGTGTAACATGCGCCTCTTTCCATGACTCTGGAATTTTATGGTCTAACAATGCATCATTAAAAATTTCTACTAATTTCGGTTGGAGTGTTTCTTCTAATTTTTTATATATTTCCCCTGGGAATCCGTCAGGTCCTGGCACTTTGTTGTTTTTCAATTTAGAGAGGGCTGTTTTTAATTCTTCAATTGTAATCTTTCTGTTGAGCATTTCTTTCTCATCATCAGTTATTTGTGGGAGCTCTGCTTTTATCAAATATTGTTCTATTTTGTCATCCGGTATCTCCTCTTCTTTATATAGGGATTCGTAGTATTCTCTCACCCTATCCCGTTTTCCTTCCTCATTAGTCAATAATTTACCCTTAGAGTCTTCTAAGGTATGAATTATTCCCCTTTCATTTTCCTTTTTTAATTTATAGGCCAGCCACCTGCCCGATTTGTTAGTATTTTTTTATTTACCTAAGTGAAGTCCAGCAACTACTTGACTAAGGATCATGTTTACCTTCATTTTTAATTGATGGTTAGTTCTAACATACTTCATTTGTCATTCCCTGTTTTTTCTGCTTAGTCTCTGCCTCAGTCCAAATGTGTGGAAAATTGCTGGCCTGGATTTTTCAAGAGGGCTCGGAAAGGAGAGCCAGTTTGCTGCTATGACTGTGTTCCTTGTCCGGAAGGGACCATCTCCACTCAGGAAGGTAGGTGACACCAGAAAAAAGGGTATTGGATTAAGCCAAAGCATTTTGATCAATGTGTGTGTGTGTATATATATAAATATATATATAATACAAGTCTAAACATAATTATAAATATATGAAAAGGATACGAATAAAAGAAAACATTAGGATAGGAACAGTAGGCAGGCTGGTGTGCTTATGCACGTCCCTTACAGACCTCTTGGGAATGGGGTGAGGTCTACAGAGACAGTCTAAGGTTAAAGTTTTGGCGATTTGGGGAAGAAACCACAGAATCAGGTAATGCATTCCAGCATTGACAACTCTGTTACCAAAATCGTATTTTCTGCAGTCTAGTTTGGATCAATTTACCATGAGTTCGTATCTATTGTGTGCTCTTGTATTGTTTTGGTTAAAGCTGAAGTATTCATTGGCTGGTAGGACATTGTAGCAGTTGATTTTATGTACTATGCTTAGGTCAGACCGAAGACGGCGAAGTTCTAAGTGGTTCTTCAGTTTTAAGGTGCCCAATTTCCTCCATAATAGGAGGAATAAGAAAAAGATCTTGAAAAATGAGGTAGGAAGAGATAGAAGAACATGATGGATTATGCATGGTTACTAGTGCCAGTTTGGAGCTATCCTCCCATTTTTACTTTTCTTAGGAACATCTGAATCCTTTGAAATTGAGGAATGCATTCAGGTCAATGGCTTTTGTTCACCCAACCCAGTTTATATTACAGCCCAAAATATATTGTACATAAATCAATCAATTAATTAATCAATCTTTATGTGGATCTTGGAACCACATAAGCAAAAAGATGTAATTCAGGGGACCATGAAGGGAGAGGGTTTGGGTTCAAGGGACAAGAGAAATACACACAAAAGACTCACCATAAAAGACATGGAACAGTTTTGTGTGAAAGAAGGAATATAAATTAAATTTATTATTATTAGGGGTAAAGTTTGCCGTTTTTATTTTTAGTGCTTTAATTTTCCATATTATGGATTAAGAGGTAAAACACAAATATTGTTTATAGCCCATTTCAACATTCCCAGATTCAGGATTGCCACCATCATGGTTTCCTTGATTGGATTGTTACTGAATCTTCCCTCTTCTTATCTTTCCAATTTTCTTGGATATTAAATAATGAAATACAAACAGTTATAACAATTGCAAAAAGGAATACAGTTGTGGTTCTAAGAGAAAAAAAAACTTACTTCCATTATTGGAATTAAAAGGAACCAGATCTAATAGAAAGTAGGAAGAGATTAATTAATCAGTGTACCTAATATCTATTCATACAAATGTAGAACTCATTCAGTCTTTAAAATTATTACTACATTTAGAAATTATGGTAATAGACTACAGCTTCTGATTTTTAGGCATTAAAATCATTGCAAAGATAGATAACATATTTTTTCTTTTCTTGAATTACTTTAGCAATTAATTTTCTCTAAGATCTCTGTTTACAATTTTATTTATTTGTGAAATTTATTGGCCACTAATCTTACCACAGGGTACCAAATTTATATTGCTGGCATCCCACACAAAGGGTCTCTGGGTGTCATCCAATTAAAACAACAATTAAACTGGATGACACATTAAATACCATGATTACAAGAGGGAAATGCATCAAGATTTTACACAGGACACAACCAGCGCACAGGGCTCTGGTACCACACAATGCCCAGGCCTGTTGAAAGAATACAATTGAAAGGAATTTGAGGAAGCCTCAAGGATAGTGGCAATCTGACATTGGGGGTAGTTTATGCCTTTTCCCCCCAGGAACGGTGGTCCCACCATTTGCTTTGAAGGATGCGATTATGCACCTCATTCTAAAGAGGCTCTCCACGGGCCCAACAATCTTAGACAAGTTTTGTCCTGAGTACAATATTTGTTAAGAGTTTGTTGAGAGCATGATTGTCATTTAGGTACAGTGCTGGTGGCTGAGGTACAGTTCCAAGATGGCATTGGTTGCTTTCAGAGATGATCTCTGATAGGAGTCCTGCAAACATTCTGACCCTTCTGGATTTCTCAGTGGCTTTTGATAATATAAATCATTCTATCCTTCTGAACAGGCTTCAGAGTTTGGGAGTGGAGGCGGGGTTTTCCAAAGGTTTTCCTTTATTTATGGTTGCTTTCAGTTGATGGGTTCTTAGGGAATAGAGGAGAAAACCTAGGCCCTGCAATGGGGCATCTCTCAGGACTCTCCTTTCTTCTTTATCTTTTACAAGAAATTGATAGGTGAGGTCATTTGCTGCCACGGGCTTGGTATCAAAGTACACCACCCATGGCTTGTTAGATGGTAGTATTGTGATGCTGAATATGACATCCATAGAAGATCTTCCTTGAAAGGTGAAAAGAGATATAAAAGAACTTTCTGTTTTCTCAGATACTGAAAAATGCACCAAGTGCCCAGATGATCAATATTCAACCGAGAGCAGAGTCCAATGTATCCCAAAAAGAATAATCTTCCTCTCCTATGAAGAACATCTGGGCATCATCCTGGTGTCCATTGCCCTACTCTTGTTCCTATCCACAGGATTCATTTTAATCATATTCATTAAATACCTTGAAACTCCCATTGTCAAAGCCAACAACCGGGACCTCTCTTACATCCTCCTGGTCTCCCTCTTGCTTTGCTTCTTGTCCTCCTTTTTCTTCATTGGACGACCAAGGAAAGCCACCTGTCTTCTCCAACAAACTATGTTCAGTATTGTCTTCTCAATAGCTGTGTCATCTGTGTTGGCCAAAACTATCACAGTGGTGCTGGCATTCTTAGCCTCAAAACCAGGGAACAAAGTGAGAAGATGGTTGGGGAAGAGCTTGGCCAATTCCATCATCCTTTCTGGTTCTGCTGGCCAAATTTTCATCTGTGCCTCATGGCTTGGAATTTCTCCCCCATTTCCTGACTCTGACCTGCACTCCCAGCCTGGAGAGATCATCCTTCAATGCAATGAAGGCTCTGTCACCATGTTTTATGTTGTCCTTGGCTATATGTGTTTCCTAGCTGCCATTTGCTTCACTATAGCTTTTCTGGCCAGGAATCTGCCTGGGGCCTTCAATGAAGCCAAGTTGATCACCTTCAGCATGCTGGTCTTCTGTAGTGTTTGGATCTCCTTCCTGCCCACCTATCTGAGCACCAAAGGAAAGTCCATGGTGATTGTTCAGGTCTTCTCCATCTTAGCCTCCAGTGCTGGACTGCTGGGCTTCATCTTCTTCCCCAAATGCTACATTATAATCCTGAGGCCAGATCTAAACACTAAGGAAAGTCTAATGATAAAAGTAGGGACATGACTGTGATATCGTTTCTTAGGTATGTAACTTTTAATTTTTTCATTGCAATTGTTGGGCTTTTGTATTCTTCCTTTGCATTAATGTGACAATTAAGGTTATTTAAAACTGAAGGAAATAAACATATAAAGACTGTAAGACTAATGAAATTAAATTCCAACATAATCATCAAACAATAAAATAAACAATTAATAATTAAAGTTGTCATGCAGCCAGAGATGAACAAGCTAAGAAATCATAGTTATATTAAGTAAAAACAGCTGAATAGAAGAGAGAAGTCTCCCCAAAGAGAGAGGGAAGGAGTCTTTTGCCTGAGGTGAATATGAAACTCTAAATCTGTGTGAACATGGACACTTTCTCTCTACTGTATGTGACTTTTTCTTGAAAGTAGATGTGAGCAGTGGAAACTGGGTATCAAGATCATGCAGATGACTCCTCATCCAACACTCTGGTTGTCTACATCAGTTATTTCTGGAGGTGTTAGGTGAATTACAGATCTTACAGATCAGAATTCCATGACTCTCTGTGGAGTCACAATTATCCTAATGTTCTGTCCCCCGTCCTCACACAGACAAATGCAATATCAAACACGCCTGCCAATAATTTATTGTATAAACAGACCAGAATTCCTGGCAGATGAGGGTTCTGGCAGCTAACTGTAAAATGCCTGCCCAGTCCAATTAGTACTCCCAAAAAGCAGGAGAGGCCTTATCTGCAGTCCATTTCCAGAGCGACAAATTATCCACAAGAGTTTAGTCCAAAATATATCTGAGCCGAAGTGCAGGATTCATGATGTGACTGTTTAGAGTTTAAACTTTTGTCCGTCACAAAGCCTGCCGAGCAATCATGCCCCCTTTTATCCCTTGTGGGGTGTGGCTCAGTGACTCAGCTCAATCCCTGGCCCTCCCCGTTGCTGCGCATGCTTCTCCCTCCGACGCTGCCTGGGATCACGCCGGGATTCATCATTATCACTCTCTATCAATGGGTGCTCCGAAATGCCTTCCTCCTGGCCCATCCCAGGCTGTTCCTCCTGGCCTTCGGATGGAACCTGAAGCATTGCCAGAGAGGAGGGTCCTGGAGAGGGAAGCCTTGTCAGTTCCTCCCCCTCACCTTCTGAGTCCTCTTCCTCCACGAGGACAGGCTCAGGAGTTGGAGTCACAACACCTAACATCCTTTCTGGACATGTCCAAAAAGCAGTGCCCCTGCTTCAAAACAGCACCTGGAAAGACCCAGAGAAGGAAATGGGAAACAGCTATGAATCCAATTGGTCTCTTATCCAATAAGGCATAGAATCCTCTTGTCCCCAAATCAGAAGCTTTCAGCATTCTGCTATGTGAATGGGAAAATAATCCCATTTTCTATAGATAGAAAATGGCAGGAGGGCATTTTCCCTGAGACTTCAATGTCTAGATTTAACTAGGGAGCTTCAGGAAGAATCCACCTTCTCTGGAAGCTACCCAGAGACCAACTGTGTTTACCACACCCAATTCTAGGAAATTTTTAGAAATGCAGATTTCAGGCATATGGGAGGCTATGTGCGATAGATGATAGATAGATAAGTAGATAGACAGACAGACAGACAGATGATAGATAGATAGATAGATAGATAGATAGATAGATAGATAGATAGATAGATAGATAGATAGAGCGGTGAAATCCTCCCGGTTCTATCCAGCTCACCGAACTGG